AAAAAACATCTACTAGTCTGTTATTGTATAGTTAAGATCATCCTGGAAAAGATTGTTTATATAGCTGTATGCATTACATTCCCCATCTGCTGTGAAAAAAAACTGTTTTAAACATGTTCACTATGCTATACGGGATTATTTTTCAGTTGTGGTGACCAATAGCAAATCTACATGCTTTTGAATAAAATAAATAGCCAGTTTCATAGGGAAGCATTGTAAAGCTGTTATTCATGTATTGTTTTGTCATGGTCAATTTTAATTTTGACTTTGGAGACAGTACAAGAAGCTTTCTATAAGCTATTTTCTGCTTTTGTTTTTGAGTTATGCTTACATGAACTTTTTTAAAAAATAGTTTCTGATTGCCTTTATACTAGGGCTGAGACAATGATCCAATTCCTTTAAATGGTATAGTAAATTGATTTATTTTCTGCATTGTATTTATCTTATCTGGCAGCTATTGCAGTGAACCATAGTGTTAAGTGCTGAGGGAGATGCTCTCCTTTAATTCTGTTAGCCATTGAGCAAACAAGCCTGAAACATATTGCCCCCTCAAATTATCATAGCTACTAAGATATTATTTTGCCTATTTTGCTTCGTTTCAATATTCCCAGGAGTCCTCTTCCCCAAATAGCATCAATTTCCTTAAGATCTATTTTCTGTACAGGGAGCAAGATAACAATTCACACATTTTACAATTATATACATTTACTTTTGAATGCCACAAGAACAACTGGAGAGGGAAACAGTCAATTTGTCTATGACAAATTCTTATCAATCATCTGGATCATATCCAATATATTCAAGACTCTTAAAGGCATATAAATCATGCAGTTATAATTGGAACACACTGATAACAGGAAATGTGTATTTTAAAATGTAAAAGTTTAACTTGAATCAATTGAACAGGTTAACACCTTTATATATCTGGGCGTAACTTTTTCCAAGACTGGATCTTGGGTTTGCCATCATCAACGAAGTACATTTAGAGCAAAAGCCCGCCTGAATCTACTGCTTAAACTAAAGAACCATAGTTACCCAGGGTCCTTAGCCCCATTAATTAAGGTATATAAAGTTAAGGTTACCACTATGCTCTTGTATGGAGCAGAAGTTTGGGGTCTTTACTCAACCACAGTCTTAGAACACAGTCCCAGCATTTGAGATGTATTCTGGGTGTAGATCCAAGAACATCTGCTGCAGCAGTTAGAGCTGAATTGGGAATTCATACAATTCATGCTCTATCCAGAATTAGAGCTTATAACTACTGGTGCAAAGTCAATGAAATGGAGACTGATAGACTCCCCAAGTTATGTCTACTAGAGCAAATAAAATTACAATCACAAATCTCCTGGATCACCAAACTAACAAATTTTGTAAGAAGCTGTGGTCTTCCTGTCTCTTGTGTAACAGGAGAACAATTCAAAAAAAGAGCTGCCCAAAGAATTAAGGATATACTGTAGAAGCACAAAATGACATAGTGATCCTTAGTAAGGTGGGTAACTTGAAATGGCTGAGTAAATACAAACGTACTTTTCAAGTAGACAGCTATTTGAAGTTACAACTCCCAAAACACCTTAGGGAGATATTTACGCGAGCGAGATTCGAACAGCTTGACACAATGGTCAGATATGGGAGATTCCATTCTATACGTTACAATGAGCGTCTCTGCATTTGCGGAGCAGCAGAGGTAGAAGACCTGGCTCACATACTATTTGATTGTTGCCTGTACAAGAGAGTGAGAGACAGGTACCTTGGTCTTTATATCAAACGAATGACTCATTGGGATCCCCATATCAAAACAACTTACCTTATGTGCGGCCAGAACTTGAAAATAACATTTAACGCAGCACCGTATTTAAACAAAATGGTTCAGTTGAGATCTGCATATGTGGGACTGATTGGGGTAGATTGCAAGGGTGACTCCAAGATATAATTTTATCATATTTTATCTATATTTTAAATTATTGTACTCTATTTTAATTTCATTTTAGACTGTATTTTATCAAATTTCATTTTAAATTGCTTTTATCAAACTTTAGTAATAATTTGTTGCTGGAATTTTGCACTCTGATATGGCCCAAGGGCTAATCAATAAAGATTTATTATTATTACTGAACATTTTTCTATTTACACATTCTAAATAAATGCTCCAAAAAACCTAACATGTGGAACAGACTGATCTTATTCATGTTTATTGAAATCTTTTCTCTTGCTAATCTACGGCCTACAGTATCCTAATTATAACCCCCGCCTTAGATATACCTTATGCATTTCTCTTGCCCAAATTTTATTGTTATTAACATGCAGGACATATATATATATATGTGGAGGCACACATTCTAGATAGCTAGTGTAGATGTCAGATAGGTTTGACTACAATTGTCATAATTCTTAGCTACCCTGTGATTTTCCATCCAGGGTAAGTGGATTATTTCTAAAAGGATGAGAACATAATTACATGACAGCTGAATATTACTGAAGTATAATCAAAAGTATTTTCAACTTCCATAGCCATGTATACTAAAACAGAGGCTTCATTTATTTATACTAGTGATGGTTATCTTGCAGAATAAAATACCTAAACATTTTGGCCTTGAAATGGAATGCAACACTTTTATGCCAAAATAGTATCCGAGAAAGTGTACTTACCTTAGTTTTACACTTTTGTATCTCATATCATTATATTTATTTAGAAGTTTCTAAAAAAACCTAGCTCAAGATGTCAAGTAGAACCATTCTTTTATTAAGGCTGAACAATGAAGTATCATTATAAAGCTTCAGTATATTCATATTTATTTTGTGATGTTTAAATGCTTGAATGACTATATGACTTAATATAACTTTAACAGCTTAATCAGAAGAGAAGTCAGCCATTTCTGCCTATGATAAATCTGACCTCAATAAATATGTAGTATATCTTTGTGGGAGAATTTACTTACCAGTGCGTACTGTGGACATATGAAAGTGAGAACACAGCTAGGAAAAATGAATATATTGAACATCAAATAAGCAAGATGGAATGAAATATTTTCAAATGCTGGACTCACATAAAGTTTTTTGTGTTCCTGTACATAAAAGTGCTTCCCCATCCCATCTAAAGCAGCCATAAGGGATTGGGTCAATTTAGCTATTATAGGCTGGTTTTATATTACTATGTGTAGGAGAAAAGTAGTCTGAGCTGGAAGGCGGAGTTAAATGTTTCATCAGTTTGGAATCACTGTTTTGTCACAAGAGATCCAAGTTCAGCCCCCCCACCCAGTGGTGGGATTCAAATATGTGAACAACCGGTTCTCTGTGTGGATGCCGCTTCCAGAAGTCCATTCTGGGCCTGGGCAACAAAAAAATAGCTACCGGTTTTGCCAAACTGGTGCAAAGTGGCTGAATCCCACCACTGCCCCCACCCCATGAATACCACTGACTCTTATCTAGTGCCAATTTAGCTTTGACTGTTAGCTAACTTGATTCTTGTGTATAGGTATCAACAACAAACTCTACTGTGTTTTGAACTCAGTGAATGCTCCTGGTTATTTGTGCCTGACACTATGCATTATTTGGATGCAATAAAATACAGTAGTTAGCATTCAAACATGCTGAAAACAGAATGACAAAAATGTTATTTATTATTCTACATTCATACAACATTAATATTTAATTATATCTTTAAAACAGTATTTTACACTAAGCTTAATAAATGTTTCACTCACTACAAGGCTGCAATTCAACGTTTTAAGATTTAGGACTTAACGTCAAAAAAGTAATGCATACAATCTATCAACATATTTATACTGAATTTAGCACCAAAATAACAGCTTACAAATTAGAGCTGGTCACAATTTTTAATAGGTGTCTATTTAAATATTATTTAAGGGCACCAAGATAATTGCACCCATTTACATTAGCATGCTTTTAAAAAAATGTTTTCTATGTAACAGCAAGAATTTGGAAGCTGAATGGCAGGCATTACAAAGCATGACCTGAGTGTTGGAGACTAGTATCAACAAAATGTTTTTTCTACAATTTCTGTGCCTAGATTTTTCAACATTTGGCTCTGCTAGGTGGGGTTGCAGTTATAGTCCACATCATCACATTATTCCTGTTCTTAACTATTAGCTACTTGAACTTATGCGCTGAATTTCTAAAATAAGACAGTTAGGATGTCATTACTTAATAGGATTGCTTCATCAGGCTCAATTATCTGATTGGCAGAGTACAATATGAAGTATTCTAGCTCAACAATCTCAACCTTTCCAGCTTGGCGGCACAGCCCAATGGGGAGCACTTATGCTTCTGCGCGAAGCTCCATTACTGTGAATGGAGCTTCGCATGAGCTTGTGTCCTCCGCTCACACAAGTGAAGCTTCATGCGTGCACACGCTTGCCCATCTCTCCCACGGCCCAGTTTTGAACAGGCCGCAGCCTGGCAGTATGCTGTGGCCCGGGGGTTGGAGACCCGTTCTAGTTAGCTTGCCTCATGCAAGCACATTATATTTGTAATGTATCATGAGTTGACCATAATAGTCCTAGTGAAATTAATGGGACTTTTTAAGATGTGCTGCAGTAAGATCGGACTAACTGAATGGTAGCATGACTCTTCCATATTTACCAACTTCTTCCAGTTTAGAAATCAGTTAGCCTTTGTTAACATGAACAGAATATTCTGATTCTTCTGTTACTTCCAGAAATAAATTCTAGTTAATTTACCAGCAAGAACTAAAGAATTAAAACAAAACAAAACTCAAGTATTTCCAGATCCAAAATTTTGCCAAATAACTATCACATCATTCTTTCTTCCAAAAATTATGAAGTATATCCTCTTCTTAAATACAAAAAGCCCTAACCTCCTAAAGCAATTAATTAATTCCAATCAAAGCTATTTGGTCACTATGAAATGGACCTACAGAGAATTAACAGTGCTTCCTTGAAGGTATCCTCAAGTTCATCCCTCATAACCACTTGAGACAGAAAGAATGCTAACATAGAAGTGGTTTCTTAGATTCTATAGAAAAAAAATCCCAAATATGAACAACCTGTACAATGCAACTGCCTTTACTTTTTAAACAGAAATGATGAGAGGTCAATCTGAAGCAAGGCTATAATAACATGGAACACAGGATGAATTAGTTCTTCTCAAGTCTGTTTTTAATGCATCTCTTCCCTTTTCTTACTTTATTTGTATGCAGTTCTATGCATTAACAGTCAATGCAGAGCTTCATTTATCTGGTAGCGAAGTGCAAGTGCTAGAATGCAACATCAGCATAGCTCTGAAATGAAATTTTCTTTATGTCAAAAGAACAACACTGTCGCAAGCATTTGTGATATTATAATTATATCTTCCAATTTTTCTTGATCTTGAAGTAATGCAATAAAATAGGAGACATGGAGCATGCCCAGTTTGTACAGCTGACTGCATCCACAGTTTCAGTAGATAGCACGTGGATTTTTGGTGGTATAATAGGCCTCGCAGGCTGCTACATAAGCTGACTCTGGAAAGAAATCATCATGATACTCAGCTAGGAACCTATAGAAGTAAAATATGTATGATTATTTTTTCTGTTAAATTATCCAAGCATTATCTTAAAATGCTTCTGAAAAACTGCTATAAATTAACCATGTACAAAGAACCCCATGCCATTAATCTTATAAATGGTTAATTGGGTGTGGTTCCCATTATATCCAACGGGACTTACTTTTGAACTTTGAACAGTTGCAAGTAATCCACTGAAATACTTCTGGAAATGCTTTTGTTAAAATGTAGGATCATTATTTGAACAGATTTTACAGATGTTTTTCTAATCTCTGTAATTCATTTGAAACTAAAATAATTAAATAGTATTATAATTTTATATTTGATGATTAAATGCTTTTTTCAGCACATGAACTTTAAAATAAAATTCCTAATCTAATACAGTAAGAGCTTTTTGCTGTAGTAATCCAGACTGGAACTATATTATCTATGCGTTAGTACAGATTAGTGGTCACAGGCTATTACTGCAAGTTATATTACTTAATATTTTTTCCTACAAATAATATTCCTAAATATTTTAATTAGAAAACTGATAAAATCAGACATCATGATCATATGGCATTTCTCAGAAGGACTGATTCGGTGCTGCAGAATTAAGATATATTAATTTTGAATTACAGGTATATTGTTCCATATGAAAAAATAGATCCTGAATGGTGCCTCAAATCAATAGATGTTTTGAGACGGAAGTATCCAGACTTTTCTTGGCTTGTGTATAGACAAATTCAAGAGAGATGGCGAATTGATAAAAAAACTGCTTCTTTTATGGAAAATGGGAATTTTTTGAAACAAGTAAGGGATGATGCCAAAGGACATATTAGAAGGATATATAATGTTTTATTAGAATTGGATTCAGAAACTGAGCTAGTTAAAGATTGTATGATTAAATGGGCTCAAAATATAGGAGAAATAATATCTATGGATACCTGGGAGTTGATATGGGTGAGAAATGTGAAATTCACGCAGGCACAAAATTTACGTGAGAATTTTTATAAGATGTTTTATANAAACTGGAAGAGTAAAGCTTTACCTACAATAGAGGACTGGAGAGTGAAGGTTTCGCATCTTGCTGAAATGGCAAAGATTTCGGCTTATTTGAAGGATCACTCAAATGAACAATTTTTATCAATATGGAGAAGATGGATCGTTTATATTCAAAATAAGCATAGAATGGTGGAATATAGGTTAGGTTTTTAGATAAAAAAATTTCTCTTTTTATACATATATATATATTTCACCTACTTATGTAGAATTATATTTTGTGGAGTTAGGGATATTAATATAAGGTTACTTTTAGATGAATAGTATCCTGGGATTAGGTTTGGGAAGTCCGGGTGGGGGGTGGGGGGGGTTTTCAATTGTGATGTACTTGTGATGTGTTCTTTTTTTTTTTATGTTGAAAATAATAAAAAAAAAATTTGAAAAAAAAATAAAATAAAATAGATCCTAAATATACATTAGCAATGAACCTGCAGGAGGTTATTATTGTATTATGAACAAAACCATATTCTTTTCATGTGAACACCTTCTTTTAAGAAATACAGGAAAAACAATTAACTTTCTAAGCTACTGTGTGTGCAAGCTCTACATACACTGAAATGTCTCTATAATCATATATCTGGCACATAATTTCTGTCAATCTCTTATACACAAGTAGTCTTTGTTTAGCGACTACCTTGATTAGCAACTATTCACAGTTATAACAGCGATAAAAAAGTAATTTTGTGACCAATGCCCATATTTACCTTTACAGGCTCTCTTTCAATCATGTGTGTTCATCATTACAATCAGTTAATTTGTGTTATCTTGTGCCTGACCCTTTTTTTTTCTTTTTCTCTGCTTGCAGTGGAGAAATTGCCTAAACAAGCTATCTCTTCCTGAGCTGCTTTTCTCTGCAGCACAACATGCTGCTAAAAAAGTGCTAATTTGTAATGTGAGAATGACCTTGAGGGAGGACAGGAAGGCTACCTACAGAATGACAAGGGGAGAAGCTTAATGGTCAGGCAAAGAAACTTAGGAAGGACCCACTCTAATTGACCAGGCTATAAATAGTACGTGTGTGTGTGGCGGGGGGAGGGCGATTTGTACTTTGAATCTTGCAGGATTCTGTTAATGTACTCTTATAATAAAATAAAGTGGAGTTAGCTCATCTAGTTGTTTCCTGTCTGGTTTACCTAGGAGGGCTGACATATTACTGTCTAAAATTATCAGGCCTTAATCGGTTTCATGCGGAAAGCTTTTGTTTACCAACTAAACAGCTTTGGGCTAACATATTCCTCTAGATCAGGAGTGTCAAACTGCCGGGCCATGGGCCGGTTGCATCATGCGAAGCCTGTGCCCACACCAGCTCCGGCAATGTAAAAAAAGTCACGATACGTCGCAACACGTCATGTGACGCGGCGAGTTTGACATTCGTGCTCTAGATATATATTCCCCACTGTGTGCCTGCTTACTCTCTTGTAATCTCTTCCTCTCCAATGAATGTAAATGCAAACATTAATTCTCTTCTTGATAATTATTCTACTACCAAGTGAGCATTCCAAAAGGTAAGGAAATGGGAAAAGAGCTATAAGATTTTATCCTTTTATTCAGCTTCCTCATGAATCTAGTTCTGGAAACTTTCCCTGCCATTTGGGTTCACTTGACTCTTTGGGATCAAATTTTTATGACATTGTAAAGCAAAGGACAACTGGAGTAAAACTGTAGCACAGTTTCCATCATGTGAGTTTTCCCTTAAGCACTATTTCACTTAATAACCACGTGCCATGCTAAATGAGGAATACCTATATTACAAGGAAAGTATTTTTACAGAAGCTAAAACTTCCTGATTAAAATCTTCTACTTTTCTCCTATACAATGAATTAGCTATCTAACAAATAACTCTCCTATAACTAAAATGTTTGTTCTGCAAGTTACTAGCTGCTCTTGAATATTTAGCTTCTAAATTTGCTGTTATCCATAGGTTACCTTAGGAAGAACTCAAAATGCTTTACTAAAGCTTTTAGATTTTTGTCAGAAAAGCTCATCTTCCCAAGTATCTCTGGAAGCTTTACTGTAAAAACAAAAAGGGAAAAAATGTCAACCCTTTCCCATTTGATAGTTTTTCTTTCAATTGAAAGCAATTTGCCATTGATACTTCCCCTTATTTGTTACTTCCACCTTTTCACATTCCATCTTTATTTCAAGCATTCATGCAATTATCCCCCCCTCCAAATCAGGTCTTAAAGTATTTTGGGTTGAGAGTTAATAAGTGGCCTGAGATCACCCATGTTTTATAGAAATTGTTATAAAAATTGAAAGGAAGTTAGATTGAAATATAGTTCTGATTCTTTTTTTAAAAAAATCCTCTTAAGGGAGATTTATATCTCTGAATAGATCAGATTATTTACAAGTACTGTTGCATATTTGTATCTGAGTGAACTAAATTCTATTACGAATGCAGAATTAATTTCCAATTAAAAATCTCCAATAAATATAATGCATAAATTAAAATTATAACAAAAACCATTGTAGAAGTTCATATATATTACCAAACATGCGCAGCAAATGTTGAGATCCATAAATGTAAGAAGGTGGTGGTGGCTGATCGCCTGGAGGATAGCTTTCTGGCATGAGTTTCCATGACAACACCTAAAAATAAAATTAGAATAAACTTTGTCTTGATCTACATCTAATTTAAAATCATGTCAGGATTCTACTAAATATTGTCAAAATCTTTATCTTAGTAGTTTAAAATATATAAAATAGAAAACTTTCTAATTTGTACAACTTTCTTCTTTCTACATCAGAACCATTTCCAAAACTGTTTTTAAAAGTTTATTTATTAAATAAAATGTTTGTATTTATTTAAAAATGAAATTTACAGAATTATGTACATAATTAGTTAAACAACTATAAGATATAAATTTTGTAATTCAACATACTTAGAAAGGAAGAGGTTAGTACATATTAAGTAGTAAGTTAAAATTATGCAAGCTGCATTTCAATAATACCTGGAGAAATATAGGTTCCTAGTTCAAAAGCATCTTGATTCACAGTCTTGAATCAAGTCTTAAACAAAAAAGCTTACCTCATTCAATTCATTATTTCTTCTGCCTTCAAATCCAGCAAATACTGCACTACCCTCTTTGCTAGGGGTCAGTGTAATAGGAGATGATGACCCACTGTGGACAGGCGTTTCTTCAAGAAAAGAGTAGGACATCATTTTATGCATGGATATATAAGGACAAGAACTCTTATTCAGTCATGAGAAATTTCCTACAGCTATTAAGAAATTCCTTTGATCTTTTTGTGGGTGGGTGCTTTAAAATAGTTTATGACTCCTGGAAACTGCTTGGATTCCTCCTCGCAGTTTTCTTGGCAAGATTTTCAGAACTGGTTTGCCTTTGCCTTTTTCCTAGCTGAAAGTATGTCTGGCTCAAGATCACTTAGCTGGCTTTGTGCCCAAGGTAGAACTATAACTCAGTCTCCTGGTTTCTAGCCTTGTGCTTTAACCACTGCCCCAAATAGGCTCTCTCCACTGACATAGGCAATCTTATTTTTTATAAAATTTCCGTAAGTATCAATGCATGTGATACCACATTAGTATCTTTGATTAATGCTGGTCTTGGCGTCTTCGGGTCTTTTCCCGTGTAAGATTGAGAGTATCTTGGTGACGTTTCGACCAGGTCCCACTCATCATCTTCAGGCTGGGGTCTTCGGCTTCGTGCCTGTGCGAGCAAAGTGTGATCGGAGCTGCCGTCTCTCTATAAATACTGGTGGGGGTGGGTGGAGTGCTGGCTTAGTTGCTGTAGGTGGATTGGTTGGCTGTGTGGGAGCCATTGTTTGTGGATTGTTTGGCTGTTTCATAACATCCTGAGTAGTTGAGGTGCTGGCTGTGTGACCATTAGTCTTTTGTGTTATAACGACCTGGGTAATGGGTTGTGTGATTACATTCTGAGATCTAGTGTAGTGATATCCTGAGTTTTGTGTTGCAACATCCTGGGTGGTTGGCTGTGTTGTAACATCCTGAGCTTTAGCGTTGTAAGCTCCTGAGTTCTGTGATGTGATGTCCAGAGCAGAAGGCTGTGATGTAGCATACCGGGCTTTGGTTTGGCTCCGAGTTTGCAGTCTAGCTCTGTGTTCATGGCGTGTGTCCATTTGCTTTGTGTGGGGATCGGAGGGAGGTGCAGCAGCTGGTGATGTAGTCGTGGTTTGGCTTCTGGATGGTAGTTGCATTTTGTCTGAGGGATGGGTTTGGGTTTGGGTTTGGGTCTGGTGAGGGTGAATGGTGTATGGTGAATGGTGGTGGCGTACTGTGTTGTTCTGGGTCCGGTGTCAGTTTTCGTGGCTAGGACCCGTTTGTTGATTAGGGCTAGATATCTGGTAGGCGGGAGGAATCGTCACGTTTATTCATGTTGTGGGGGTGTTTTTATATTTCGACGGCTTCCATAATTATTCTCTTGTAGTATAGCCTAGCCGACAAAGATCACCTGAAAACTGAATTACACACTCTCACAAACGTATTAATCTCCAACGGATTCCAAAGAAATACAATTACCAACCTAATCCAAAGGGAAACACCCCCCCCAAGAACCGAGACATAGAACAATACAACGACATCGCCCTCCTCCCCTACATCAAAGGCACCACAGATAAAATCAGCAAAATTCTCCACAAACACAATATCAAGGCAGCCTTCGGCACCAACCAAAAATTAGCCAACATCTTAAGAAACCCAAAGACAGGATCCAGCTAGAAAACCAAGGAGTCTATGAAATACCATGCAAAATCTGCCCAGCCACATACATTGGACAAACTAATAGGAGAATAAATGCCCGCATCACAGAACACAAGAACGCAGTCAGAAAAGAAGAAAAAACTTCCTCCCTCTTCCAGCACCTTAAAGCTACAGGACATGAAATTGATTTTGAAGGAACCAAACTAATCTCCAAAACTGAACACCACAACAAGAGAATAATTATGGAAGCCATCGAAATAGAAAAACACCCTCACAACATGAATAAACGTGACGATACCTCCCGCCTACCAGATATCTGGAAACTAGCCCTAATCAACAAATGGGTCCTAGCCACGAAAACTGACACCGGACCCAGAACAACACAGTACGCCACCACCATTCACCCTCACCAGACCCAAACCCAAACCCAAACCCATCCCTCAGACAAAATGCAACCACCATCCAGAAGCCAAACCATGATGACATCACCAGCTGCTGCACCTCCCTCCGACCCCCACACAAAGCAAACGGACACACGCCATGAACACAGAGCTAGACCGCAAATTCAGAGCCAAACCAAAGCCCGGTATGCTACATCACAGCCTTCTGCTCTGGACATCACATCACAGAACTCAGGAGCTTACAACGCTAAAGCTCAGGATGTTACAACACAGCCAACCATCCAGGATGTTGCAACACAAAACTCAGGATATCACTACACTAGATCTCAGAATGTAATCACACAACCCATTACCCAGGTCGTTATAACACAAAAGACTAATGGGCACACAGCCAGCACCTCAATTACTCAGGATGTTACGAAACAGTCAAACAATCCACAAACAATGGCTCCCACACAGCCAACCAATCCACCTACAGCAACTAAGCCAGCACTCCACCCACCCCATCAGTATTTATAGAGAGACGGCAGCTTCGATCACACTTTGCTCGCACAGGCACGAAGCCGAAGACCCCAGCCTGAAGATGATGAGTGGGACCTCGTCGAAACGTCGCCAAGATACTCTCAATCTTACATGGGAAAAGACCCGAATACGCCAAGACCTGCATATATATATAATATGTTTAATCCTCCAGGATTACAATCCGTCACACACTAATATCAAGGAGCTAATAATTATTTGCTCTGAGTGTGTGTATCTTTGAATCAGTTTTGGATTCCTGGCAACTGCCTGGACTAGTCCCTGCAGTTTTCTTGGCAAGATTTTCAGAAGTGGTTTGCCATTTCATTTCTAGGGCTGAGAGAAGTGACTAGCTCAAGTCACCTAACTGGCTTTATATCTAAGTCAAAACATTGCTAGTAGCTAAATCAGACAAATTATTTTGCTAAAAAAACAAAGCGATCATGGATTCTGCAAAGTTATTAGCATAAAGCAAGTTGTTTCAACTGCTTCTATAAAACAGTTAGACCAGAACTGATGTTCAAAGTCATCTGCCTATTGCTAAAAGTTAAGAAAAGTGTCTAATATCTAGTCATTCAAAATGCTTGGTAAAATATTGATCTGCTTATATTTCTGAGTCATCCTCCTCAAATGCCATTATTTGTTGCTAGAAGCATCACCATATTCAAGTGAAGACACTTGAAATGCATGTTATCATACTGCAAGCATGCTTTTTATCAACTGCAATTGTCTGCTGTTATTACAACAGCAATCAAATCAGGAGACATCCCCATGACAAATCCAATATGGATTGGCTATAGCATACTAAGTATGACCCACCCTGAAGCACAAGCTTTCAAAATCTATTAAAATAGTGACATTGGTAATATAGGCTTTATTATAAAAGCTTAAAGTACATATGCAATGCCTTTGAAAAATGTTCATTATTAGCACTCAAATTTATCATGAGCTTGTTAAAAGACAACTCATGAACTGAAAATATTTTTTACATCATTGTTTCTTTTTACATAATCAGTTATTTATCCTAACATAGAACTCACTTTTTTCAAGATGCAAAAACAATTTTGGCATTGAAGCAGGAGCCTCAGTATTCCGCCTTTTTGGCTGTGGGGAAGCACTGCTTTCTGACAGCCTATCACAGTTGGACGTGTGACGTGTGGAACGCCTTAGAGACTGCAAAATTTCAGGTTCAGTTTTTCTGCGTTTTGGTGTTGCAGGTTCTCCTGTTGCAGGCTGACTATCTGTGGATTGTGGAGTTGATGGATTCAGAAGAGGTGGGCTTGGAGAAAGCTCTTCTTGATTTCTGATCAAATAAAAAAAATATGGTGAACTAGGATGTTGAGTGGTTATTATGGGCCAATACACAAGGCCAATAAAGAACACTTTAAATAGTAACTATGTAACTTTCATCATTATTGAAAAGTCTTCTTTCAGCTTACTGGTTGCCAGTAAAAAATATAGTTTTATGACTATAGGTTTTTTAAAATAATGTCATTAAAACCATTCTATTTCTCGAAAGGAATGCAAAAAGAAAAACACAAACCCACCTGTTAGAATTTGCTACACTCTCTTTGATTGGTAGAAAAAATTTGGAGGATGTCACCTTTTTAAACTGTGCTTGCTCATAAGGATACAGTAGAATAAGAGGAAGAGTGAAATCAAAGGTTATTCTTAGGCCATCCACCATTTCTTTACATAATTCAACACTAGAAAAATAAGATTACAAAAGAAATAAGTACTTTATATAACAAAGTTTATGTTAATATTTGATTTATTTTGAAGAACTAAGTCATAACAATCAGTATTATTTATTTATCAAACTTGCATGCTGCCCTTCCTACTCTTATACTGTCTCATACTGTTTTTGGTATTACTATTACTATTAGCTCAAGCATCTAGTTGGGGTCAGAACCACTCAATTAGAAACAAGCCAAAAATAATGCCTAGATAGCTACAGAGGAGTGATAATTTATTTTCTATGTGTTTTCTCTACATTAAAGAATTGGAAGTTGCTCCCCACAATCTATGTGTTAGTTTATCTGAGTACTATATAACCTGCTTTTTTGGATGAAAGAGGCTAAGAAAGGAACCTTCCCCAGGATGGAACTCAAAAGTGATGGAATAATTTGGGCTAGAACTGAAAAGAAGGAATACATGTACTCCTTGACTTCCATCCAGTTGCTTAGCAACCTTTTGAAGTTGTGATGAACTGCCCCATAAGGCAGGGGTCCCCAACTAGGCCGCAGCATGCCAGAAACCAGTCTGCACAAACAAGCAAAGCCCCATCTGTGGGATGCAGACAGTACATGAAACCACGTCCCCACCAGTCTGTGGAAAAAACTCTCTCCACGGAACCGGTCCCTGGTGCCCAAAAGGTTGGGGACTTCTGCCATAAGGTACTTATGACCCAATTCTGAAGTTGTAATGGCTGACCTACTCCCCAAGTCATTTAACCACATTTTGGGTGCTCAGCAACTGACCTGCATTTATACCCGTTTGCAGCATCTTGCAGCCATGTGAATGCAATTTATGACATATTTGTCAAAAATTGGCCACTACATCCTGATTTTGGCAAAAAAACAACAACGCCCCATAGGGAATAATGGGTTCACTTACTAACTGCATATTTGCTTAATGATCATGGATTCACTTAATGATTGCTGCAAAGAATGTTGTAAAATTGGGTCAGTCACATGGATGACCCACTTTACGATTACATGACTTATAATCATAATTGTAGAATCCATTAGAGTCATAAGTCAAAGACTACTACCTCCAATGAAGAGTATTTTAGAGATCTGTATAAGAATGATAGTGATATGTTAAAGAGGGGAACATAAGAAATTCATGTTATGTCAATAAAAAGTTGATGAAAAGAAAGTTGTACTACAGTGTTATGAGAATGTTGAGAATTAGGCAAATGGTGTAGCTGGAGAAAAGTTAAAATATGGATATATTTGCCTTATTAAGTGGCTATATGACTTATTTAAAAGAACACCATTATTGTTCCATTATATAAAGTGAAGTGAATGCAAAACTATAGGAAATAAATTTATTTATAAATAAATATTTATTTAGAAATAAATAAATTTATTTAGCTTGCTAATATTTAATTAGTTGAACTTGAAGTTAAACCTTTCATTTTAAACTCTAACGTAGACACAAAATCAAATAGTGTTTGCTTACTTTTTTTCTGGTGGGATATAATGAACATTCAGGTTGGAATGTGAAGTCATTTGATGGTGTCGGGATCTCTCATTGGCTGAAAAAGCTGCATTAATGGCAAAATGCTTTACGTATGATTCCAAGATGGTTATTATATTTGTCTGACATGGCAGTTTCACAAGCTAAATTAAAAAAAAAATATTTTACACATTTTCTGTTCATATTTCAAATAAGCATGGTACTTATACAGGCAAAATGGATTTTTTTTTAAAAAAAAGTTGGACACCCCCTCACACACCTTGCAGTCAAACCTATTCTCCACTCTCTTGTGACTCCACTCACTAGGCTACAACCTGGACTAACAAGAACAAATAAGTATCATAGGAGTACAGCATATTTTCCACCCCACTAGTTTTATTTTTCTCATTCCTTGTTAAGATCCATGTAGCTGGCAAAACCAAGGAATCAAGAACAACAGAGATGTCAATAGGTTATACTTAAAGCCAGGGTGGAATAAATACAGAATTCTGAAAACAATAATAGCAATTTTGAAGCTTCATATACTTGTCCAAGCAGTCTCTGAGAATTGGACACAATTGAATGGAAGAAAAGGCATCCAAAAAGAAAAGCTACCTTCTGGTAGGTGATTCAATTATAAGGGATGTAAATTTAGGAAAGGACACAGAGGCTTTGAAAGAGATCAGGTGTCTTCCAGGTGCTACTGCTAGTAGGGACAAGAAGCGTATTTCTAAAATAATCAAGAATGGCAGCAAGGACTGTGATGTGGAGGCTATCGTACATCTTGGCACTAACGATCTGTACTCTCTGTGCAGAACGATTTCCAGAGCTTGGGGAAGGAACTTAGCAGAATAGACTGTAGGCTTACTTTCTCAGAGGTTTTACCAGTGTACAAGGAGCAAGATGGAAAAGGTCAGTGCATAGCACAATTCAATATGTGGCTAAAGGAGTGGTGTAAAGGGGAAGGCTTTGGATATATTAGTCACAATGTCTGGAGCTGGTCCAATGAAAAGATGTACAAAAGAGATGGTTTGCATCCATCAAAGAAAGGGACTGAGTTACTCGGCTATAAATTCACAGATTTTCTGGAGGAAAATTTAAATTAAACAGCGGGGACAGTGAGTTAATAGATACAGAACAACCCTGTCCCCGGCAATCTAAAAATTATAGGGCTATCAGTGCATGTAAGAATACCAACCTTGCTGTCAAGCAAAATCAAGCCTCTAATAGTGAGTGCCACATAAAGTGCACTAACCAATTACGTGGTAAGACAATAGGGGAACTTAGGCACCACACAGGTTATGTAGAAAGTAAACACAGGGCCGGTCATAAAGGACTCAAATGTCTATACACCAATGCACAGAGTATGAACAGCAAACAGGGTGAACTAGAAATTCAGGTTAATGAGGGCAGATATGATATTATTGCCATTACGGAAACATGGTGGGATGAAACCCACACATGGAACACACAGCTAGAGTGATTTAAATTATTTAAAAGAAACAGACCAAATAAAAGAGGAGGTGGAGTTGCTCTCTATATAAGAAATAACTACATATTTGGTGGATTTGTAGAAATATAAAAGCTTTTTGGATTAAGATTTGGTGGAACATTCAAAAGATTTTCAAGAGAAAGATAAAGTTCACTCCACAATTATTTTTGTTGGGTATTATTACAGATTGTGATACTAAAGAAACTAATTTGATGTTGAATTTGATAACAGCTGCAAGGTTATTAGTAGGGCAATATTGGAAGAAGGATTGCTTGCCTACTATAGAAGAATGGACGCTTAAAGTGTCAAATTTAGCAGAAATGGCTAGGATTTCTGCCTATTTGAAGGATCACTCACAAGAAAGATACATTTCGGTTTGGAGAAGATGGATAGATTATATTCAGAATAAATATGGGACTAAAAAGTTCCATTTAGCTTATGGGTAAATTTTAGAGTATTATTAGTATTAATAGTTTATTATAGTGAAATTTTTATGTTAAAGGGGAGTTAAAGCACATTATGGACTTGGTTATTTATATAGTTGGTTAATGTTAGTTAGATTATGATTATTATATTTGTAACCCTGTATTCAGCTCTGGGAAGCGGGGGAGGGAGAGGGGGGTTAGGGTTGGTTGGTTTTGGGGTTTATATTGTAACTTTTATAAAACTTTTCAATAAAAAAAGAAATAACTACATCTCTACAGAAATAGAGAACAACAATGATAAAAATTGTCTTGAATGCATTTGGGTCAATATAAAAGGGGGGAAAATGACATTGCCATAGGTGTACACTACAGGCCACCCAGCCAAACAGAGGAAATAGATGAACTTTTTGCTAGTCAGCTAACTAAAGTATGTAGGAAGCACATCACAATAGTAATGGGGGACTTTAACTACCCTGACATCAACTGGGAGACAAACTCTGCACCAAGTGGAAGATCAAATAGGTTCCTGACAAAGCTAGCAGACAACTTTGTCTCCCAAAATGTAGAGAAGGGAACTAGAGGATTAGCCATTTTGGATCTAATTCTCACTAACAGAGATGAAATGATAGAAGGTGTTGAAGCCATAGAAACCCTGAGAGGAAGTGATCATGCAATATTGGAATTCAACATTATGGAAGCACAAGCAATAGAACACAGTCAAATTAGAGTCTTGGACTTCAAGAGAGCTAATTTCAATAAACTTAGAGAGGGCTTGGGAAGGATTCCATGGATGACAATCCTCAAGGGGAAAACAACTCAAGAAGCTTGGGAAATTTTGAAAAATGAGATAATAAAAGCCCAGTCTAGCACAATACCAACAAAGAGGAAAAATAACAGCTCTCAAAAGAAACCAGCATGGCTGCATAAAAAACTCTCTGACAAATTGAAAGATAAAAAGGACAAGTATAGAAAGTGGAAAGAGGGGCACATAACTAAGGCAGAATATCAGCAAATAGCCCGAGCCTCCAAAGATGAAGTGAGGAAAGCCAAGGCTCAAAATGAACTAAGGCTTGCGACCAAAGTCAAAGATAACAAAAAAAGCTTCTTTCAACATGTAAAAATCAAGAAAAAAGTGAAGGAAATGATTGGTCCATTAGTGGGTGAAAGTGGCAAGAAGGTGACAAGCAACAGGGAGAAAGCAGAACTATTTAACTCGTTTTTTGCATCTGTCTTTACACAAAGGGAAAAAACAGACCAACCTATCGAAAATAGTGCCATAAAAAACAGAATAGAAACACAAGTTAAGATAGGCAAGAAAATGNATGTGATCTCAGAACCACTGAACTATATTTTTCAAAGATCCTGGAGCACAGGGGAACTACCAGAGGACTGGAAAAGAGCTGATGTAGTTCCCATCTACAAAAAAGGGAAAAAAATGGACCCAGGAAATTACAGACCTATCAGCCTGACCTCAATACCTGGGAAGATCCTGGAAAAGATAATCAAACAACGAATCAACGAGGCAAACAAAGTCATTACTAAAAGCCAACATGGGTTTGTCAAAAATAGATCATGCCAGACAAATCTTATTGCATTCTTTGACCAAGTGACAAAATTAGTGGATCAGAGGTATGCTGTGGACATAATTTACTTGGACTTCAGTAAGGCATTTGATAAAGTAGATCACAACCTACTACTTGACAAGATAGAAAAATGTGGGATAGAAAGCACCACCACCAGATGGATCCGTAGCTGGCTGACCGGCCGTACTCAGCGTGTGGTCCTCAATGGAACCGCATTTACATGGAGGGAAGTGTGTAGTGGGGTGCCCCAGGGCTCTATTCTGGGCCCAGTGCTCTTCAGTATCTATATCAACGATTTGGATGAGGGGATAGATGGGGAACTCATCAAATTTGCAGACGACACCAAGCTGGCAGGAATAGCCAACACTCCAGAAGACAGGCTTAAGATACAGAAGGATCTGGACCAGTGGTTCTCAACCTTTTTAATGCCGCGATCCCAACCGGTCGTAAGTCGAGGACTAAACTGGTCGTAAGTCGAGGACTAAACCGGTCGTAAGTCGAGGACTACCCAACCGGTCGTAAGTCGAGGACTTTCCCTGCCCGGGAGTGCCGTGCATGATGGTTCCACCCCCTGCGCCGGCCGAGGCGTAGCTGGCAAGCGGCAGAGATGGAGCAGGCCGACCACCAGTTGACCCAGCCCAAGGGAGGTAAGGCACCCGCCGGAAAAGGGGAAAAAAATGGCGGACAAAAAAAATGGACAAAAAAAATGGCGGACAGCCTTGCTTGGCGACCCCCGTGAAATGGTCGATCGACCCCAAATGGGGTCCCGACCCACAGGTTGAGAACCACTGATCTGGACAGACTTGAACACTGGGCGCTATTTAACAAAATGAAATTCAATGGTGAAAAAAGCAAGGTTCTACATTTAGGCAAGAAAAACCAAATGCACAGGTATATTATAGGGGGTACCTTCCTCAATAGTAGTAACTGTGAGAGGGATCTCGGAGTCCTAGTGGACAATCACCTAAATATGAGCCAGCAGTGTGCTGCAGCTGCCAAAAAGGCCAACACAGTGCTAGGCTGCATTAACAGAGAGAGAGAATCAAGATCACGTGAAGTGTTAATACCACTTTACAATGCCTTTGTAAGGCCACACTTGGAATACTGCATCCAGGTTTGGTCACCACGATGTAAAAAAGATGTTGAGACTCTAGAAAGATTACAGAGAAGAGCAACAAAGATGATTAGGGGACTGGAGGCTAAAGCATATAAGGAACGGTTGCTGGAATTGGGTATGTCTAGTTTAATGAAGAGAAAGACGAGGGGGGACATGATAGCAGTATTCCAATATCTCAGGGGCTGCCACAAAGAAGAGGGTGTCAAGCTATTTTCCAAGGCGCCTCAAGGCAGGACAAGAAGCAACGGGTGGAAACTAATCAAGGAGAGAAGCAACCTAGAACTAAGGAGAATCTTCCTGACAGTTAGAACAATTAACCAGTGGAACAACCTGCCTCCAGAAGCGGTGAATGCTCCAACACTGGAGGCTTTTAAGAAGAGACTGGACAGCCATTTGTCCGAAATGGTATAGGGTTTCCTGCCTGAGCAGGGGGTTGGACTAGATGACCTCCAAGGTCCCTTCCAACTTTACTATTATTAAAAGAAATTATGGCTGAGTCTCGCTGGAGCAGTTTTTCTTATCTCGCTCAATAGTTGCCCTTGAATTGCCTTTTTTGAAATAAACATGGAACTGACTCGATTCTAGCATTCCCACAATTTTTTGTTCCTTAAAGCTAAGACTTTAAAGGTAAATTGAACAAACTCATAGGTAACAAATATATCAATGGTTATTACTCTTAGTCCTATTTCCAGAGTAAGAAATGCTTCAAATATCAGTTGCTGGAAAACCACAGCAAGAGAAGAATTTCCTGTTTGTGAGCTGCCTACAGGCAAATGGTAAGTCCATTACTGATTGCCTGTAGAAACCATAAACAAAATGCTAAATTAAGATGGACTTTGGCCAGGCCAGAAGGGCCAGTTTTAGGTTTTCTATCATTAAATCTCAAAGATCAGAAAAGCTGCAATAAGAATAAAAATAAAAGGGTGAGTTCATACATTTAGAATTAAGAAACAAGCTGCCTTTCTATTTTCAATAAGGAAACTGAGTTTACACTTCTCTCATATAAGTATTAGGTCCTTATTTTTTTTTAGTTTAGTAGCCTAATTTAAGGCATGAGTATGATGCCATGAGTATGATGCGTTGTTGATACCATATGATTGATAAAGAAATGAATTAAATACAGATAAATAAGAAATTACTTTAATGTATTTAATAAGATAAATGTCAACTTTGAAAATGAGCGTGGCTGCAGCCATTTTCCCTACTCATTTTCAGTTGACACATAGCATGGAAGGAGGGGGTTTACTAGGTGCTTTGCTAGACTAAACAGATTTTCTCCCGTTGGAATCAAAGTCATCGGCTGCTCCCGGGGCTGCAGGCTGGGCGTTTCATGAAAAGCCTGCCAAGAAGATGCATTGGGGAACATAGTAGCTTGCATAGCTTTAGGGATGGGATTTCTTAACTTTGTATTGGGGATTGTTACGTGTCTATTCAGACTTGGTTTCACTTTTGACCTGCCGATACTTTGTATCAATAAACATGTTCTTTGAGGAACTTGCAAGCCTCGGAGTTCTGATTTATTTGTCTCTGTCGGAACCATGACAATAAATCTATTTTTCCTTGACAACATCCAAGAATTTTAATGTACCAATGCTACCACTATGCCACCACAAGGCTAATGTACTCTCAGACTACCTGTGGAATAGAAAAAGCAATCAAAACAGAGAATCCTGAAGATTTAAACTTAAAGTTAATCTACTTCCTTCAAAGTCTAGTAAAACAAATTGCTATTAAATTGTACTGTAGAACACCTTTTCACTAGTTTCCATATTTGCTTGCATATGTTGTACATTTATATATAGTCACCTGATATCAAATCCTACTGAATTTAATCTGTCTTATATATGGCAAATTGTGCATGTGACTGCACTGTCAAATAATGTTAATTTTTGCATACAAGTGTTTAGTATTACTATATCCAATTATTTTAATTTGCATAAAATGTTCCATACCCGTTTTCGCCTGTTAATATAGTAACAATCCTCTTCAAGTTTCTTTTTCAAGATTTCAGGAATTTCAATGTTTATTGCTCTTTCTTCCATATCTCTTTTAGCATGAGTCTCTTGCTCTTCTTTCTGTATCAATATAATCAACATTACAAAAACTTGAATTTACTTATGTTACATTAAATATAATAAACTATTAGGAATTTTTAAACCGTATAATGAGGCATATATCAGAGCCTGATAAATCCTGAAATCACAAGTAAGGACCTGTTACGGATCAAGGCAAAGAGAAACATCTAAAATAGTTTTATTCAAGATAAAAGTCCAATTCTGATCTATATCTTGGTGCTTTGGAATGATGTATATCTCAGTGCTTTTACAAAACCTACGTTCTTTTCAGTCTCTTTCCTAACTATCCTTAGCATGGAATTTGCCTTTTTCACAGCTATGAGTCAACATCCTTACTGATCTTACTACAACTCATTTTCCTAGTTAGTTACAGATAATAGCAATCTAATTTGTTAAATACCCCATAACTGCTAAACTTCCTCAAATGCCTTTGAAAAGAAACTTTATCAAAGTGTTGTTGAAAGGTATGTAATGGTCATCTCCCTCTAGGTTCCTAATAATAATAATAATAAAAATCCTCCAGAAGGTTGGTGAAGCAGGATTCACATTACAAGATCAAAGCCAATTTTCCTTCCGCAATTCTTGTTCTTCTATGTGTTTAATTTTTTTAGTAATTTTTTTTATTAATATTCTAACAATTTGTTCAGAAAAGTTTGTTGGTCATCATGTAACTTCCCTATCTCCCTGCATCTCCTTGCCTTTTTAAAGAGCAGGTAATATACTCCAATTCAATTCAATATATGAACTATGCAATATATAAAATGCAAACTATCTAGAGGGCCTCTGAATTTTTCTGTTTTATTAGAGAATGGATATGTCAGAACCGTGTCTGTCTATGGGCATAGGGATTCCTGTTCTTTTCGGGTTCTGACATTTCTCTGGTAAAAGGGGGAGCTTGGGGTTGCTACAGTGTATTTCCTTTGCATTGTTCCTTGCTCTATCCTCTTTGATGTTTCTTTCACGGGGTGAGAATGGAATGTGCCTCTGGCCATCTGCCTTATCTTTGGGCGCGGAAGAAGAGACGCGGAGACTTAACAGCCTTGGAAGCGGAGCCTTATCACTCCATTCCCACATTTTCACACCTGCGGATTGGCCAATTTGAACCGTCTGGATGGCTGGTTGGTGGAGTTTTCATTGACTCTTTTGACTTATTGATTTGTGTGGGAAACCCTCAGATCCTGCCTTCTACTACTGCTGTCAACACCTTCCAATAAAAGTTCCTTTTGAGATGATGTCCGTTTCAAGAGTTCTGCTTTCTTGGGAGGCTTAATTGAGGCAGGTGCTTACATTGGGCAGGATCTGCAAAGTGGTCAACCCGGAGGGAAAACCCCTACTGTGGGGACCGTGCAAAGGATGTCGAACCACGGCGGTGAGAGAGGAGAAAGCAACTTCTGCGGGGAAGCTCCCCCCAAGGTTGGCCTGAGCGGCAGCAGCTCAAATTCCTCCAGCTCATCTGATGAAGCCATGACCAGAGAAAGTCGGGAAAAGCCAAGATGGTCGATTAGCATGCGGAAGAAGGAAGAATGGGAAGCGAAAGCCAGAAAGGTGACCCCCAAGGCAGCCATCCACAGGAATGGAAGCGAGAGATTAAGAGGTCACTCAACCTCAGCAAAGAGGACAATGAGAGACCAACCAGGTTCGATTGCTTCCTTAAACAAGCCATCAGCCTGATGGTGGAAGCTTTCAAGACCCTTAAGGAGGAAGAAGACCCCTGCAGTGGTGCTGATACTGGTAGAGGAGGAATGCTGGGAGGGTGAGTTGGCAAACACTGGTCCCTCTACCAGTGCCTTGGAAACTACGGAAGCAATGGCTACATCAACCACTCCAGCATGGGTCACCCCAGCTGGGGGAGACAGGCGCCGAGCAAAACGAAGGAGGACCCACCAGCCCGACCAGAAGGTCCCACTCTTGGGATTAAAATACGATGGGATTTTTCCTAGCCGATGTCCTGAGTTACATGGAGTAATACGGGCGAGATATCCCAAGCGACAGCAGATGGGTCAGGATGGTAACCATGGCCCTGGAGGGAGCAGCTGCCCGGTCGATGGTGACCCTGCATAACGCTGATGCCCCTGAGCTCCAAAACTTCAATCAATTCATGGCTGCCCTGAAGCGGAGGTTCGAGGACCCCTTAGCTGACCGGAAAGCCAGAGAACACATCAAAATGGTGAGGCAAGGTCATTGCCCGGTGGCCGAGTATATGGAGGCATGCCGCCTCAATTGGCCGGAAGAAGTCTTAGTGGGCCATTTCAAAGACAGGCTGAACGATGATCTGTACCATGCATGCATCGCATGGGGAGATCTGGATCGCCTGCACGACTGGTGTATCCTGGCCGATCGACCAAGCCCGAAGTCAGCAACACCTGGGACAAACCTGGAGATGCTCCCCCCCAGAGGGAAAACAAGAGGCAACAAAAAACCCCATCGCAGCACCATGTTCAATGGATACCGGGCTGCAGAATGCCGCTTGAAGATTCCCATATGCAAGCCTGACCGGTCTGGTGGAGGCAAGCCTGGGAAGATTCCTCAGCGACCCAGGGAGACTGCCATGAAAAGTGCTGAGGTCGTTGAGGTCCAATTCCCCGGAATCCCGGGGGAAGGAACTCCAGGAAAGTGACCCGACTCTCCTGACAGCGACTCTGAGGACAAACCCCTGGTAAGTAGGCCCATCGCGCCCCTCACCAGAACAATAGAACTGTTAAGTCCAGGGATGCCGAGAAAAGTAACTCTGAAGGCCCTGTAGGACTCGTGTTGCACCGTTGCTTAATAAGCCCAATCTTAGTGGGAAGTCTAGGGATTCTGGTGAGGAGGCTGAAGAAGCCAATTTCATTTGGCTAGTTAGATGAGTCCATCTCAGGAGAGGTCCCAGCCACCCTCGTTACGCAGCCAGTCCAGCTCACAATGGGGGATCACACAGAAGACTTTGACTTTTATAGTGACCCCTGGCATGGAGTGGGCCCTAATATTGGGGATGACATGGTTGAGGAAGTGGAACTCGAGGGTGGACTGGAGGACTGAAGAGTTGTGGTTTCCAAAAGAGAGGCCCACTGTATGGGGGAGACCTGCAAAACAAAGAGAAAAGGAGCTCCAGAGGTGGTAGCAACTGCAAAAGATTGGGGGTTAGAAACCGTACCCAAGGAATACTGGGATCTAGCTTAGATGTTCAGCGAAGAGCGGTCCGACGAGTACCCCCCCTTTGGCCCACTGACTGTGCCATTGAGATTCTACCAGGAGCCAAATTGCCTAAGCCCAAAATGTATTCAATGACTCCCCAGGAGCTGGAAGAGTTACAGAAATTTAGCGCAAGGTTTCATACAGCCGGCAAGACCAAAAACTGTGGCCCCGGTGCTGTTCCACGAAAAGAAAGACAGATCTCTTTGCCTCTGTGTGGACTGTAGATCTTTGAACGTGGTGTGCGAAAACAATATCTATCCCTTGCCGCTAATGAAGGATATGTTGGCCCACCTAGCAAAGGGGAAGATATTCTCGAAATTAAGACAAACGGGAGGCATATTACTGGGTTAGGATCAAGGAAGGAGACGAATGGAACACAGTGTTTAACTGCCCACTGGGGTGTTTCCAATTCAGGGTGCTCCTGTTTGGACTGCAGGAAGCACCAGCAGTGTTCATGCAACTGATAAATGAGGTCCTTCAGGAACACCTTTACAAGGCGGTTCTTGTGTATTTGGCTGACATCTTAATTTTCATCAAAACGAAAGAAGAGCATGTCAAACCAGTCAGAGCAGTTCTAAATAAACTGCGGGCCGCCTGGCTTTAGGCGAAACTATCAAAGTGTGAGTTCCATAAGGAAAAAATTGACTATTTGGCGTATCGCATATCCCATAATGGGTAGAGATGGACCCAGAAAAGGTCTAGGCAATGCTAGAATGGGCACCACCACGCACAAGGAGGCAGTTGCAAAGTTTCCTGGGGTTTGCTAACTTCTACCGACAGTTCATTCCCTCTTTTGCACAAATAGCGCTTCCCATTACCAATTTACTAAAATCAAAGGGGGAGGGCAAGCCAAAATCTAGTCAGCCGCTAAAATGGACTATGGAGTGTCAAGCTGTGTTTGAGAAACTAAAGAGACTTTTCTCAGCCGAGCCGGTCCTAAAGCACCCAGACACAGAAAAACCTTTTGTCATTCAGGCATATGGTAGTGACGTAGCAATAGGCACACTACTGTTCCAAGAAAACCAAGAGGGCCAGTTACAACCTTGTGCCTACACATTGAGAAAACTCACAGAAACTGAACAGAGGTGGGCAGTGTGGGAAAAGGAAGCCTATGCCGTAAACTGGGCCCTCCTCACATGGAGGCATTTCCTGGAAGGAAATAAAATCCCTTTCCAGGTATGGACTGATCACAAAAACCTGGAAGCTTTAAAAACCCCAAGAAAACTGTCCCCAAAACAGGCAAGGTGGTCCCAACACTTCCACCAATTTAACTTCACTATCAAATATCTGCCTGGGGGAAAGAACTTCCTAGCCGATGCCTTATCAAGGCTGCACAATATAATAGTACAAAAATGGAGATGGTGAATTCTCTCGTGTCTTCTAAGCAGTTAGCAGCTCCAGTAACCACAAGGGCACAAGCAAAAAATTCAAAACCCCTAGACAGCACAGCAGGAATAGAGTTCAGATAAGCTCTGGAAATGAATGAATGGTTCCTGAGTCATAAAAACCTCTGCTCAAAGGATGACTGGCTGCCATGGGTGGAGGGAAAGCTATATGTGCCCAAAGCCTAAAATTCATGCAACTCTGTCATGACTCAAAGGTAGCTGGACACTGGGGTTCGTGAAGACGCTTCACTTAGTGAAGAGGCAGTTATGGTGGCCATCCATAAAGAAAGACATTGAAAGCCATGTGGCTAGTTGCCCCATTTGTGCAGCTGAAAAATGGAGGCAAGGAAAAACACCGGGCCATTACAGGTGGTAGTGAGCCCGTCAGCACATTGGCAAGAGATTTCCATGGACTTTATTGTGGAGCTACCATAGAATGCAGGAAACACGGTCATTTGGGTGGTGATAGACCTATTCTCCAAGCAGGTGCACTTCATCCCGTTCCCTAAAATTGCCACGGCTAAGACTCTAGCAAAAATGTTTGTACAGCATATGTACCGATTGCATGGGGCTCCGCAACGCATAATTTTGGACAGGGGGGTGCAATTTACCTCAGAGTTCTGGAGAGCCTTTTCGGACCTCCTGGGTACTGCTCAGGGCCTGTCATCTAGTCATCACCCGCAAATGAATGATAGGACAGAACGTTCGAATTCAGTATTGGAACAATATTTAAGATGCTTTATTAATCATCAACAAGACAATTGAACCGATCTGTTTCCTTTTGTGGAAGTAGCTTACAATAGTACTGTTCACTCCAGCACGGATTATACCCCATTCCAGGTTGCAATAGGACAAAGCTTCAATCCAATGCCCGAGTTGCCGGTCAACCCACCATCCCCTCCCCGAAGGATTGTATTGCACAGCTACGAAATACGTGGTCGGTAGTTAGAAAAGTGCTAGATGAGGCTAGGGAGGCTTACAAACCACGGGCAGATAAAAAGCCGGTAGAACCTAAGCCAATTAAAGTCAGGGAGAAAGTATACCTGTCCACAAAGTATTTAAAATCTTTACAGCCATCAAAGAAGTTAGGACCAAAATTTGTGGGGCTGTTCCCTATTAAACGGGTCATCAATCTGATAACCGTAGAATTGGAACTTCCAAAAACATTAAGACAGGTTCATCCAGTATTTCATTGTAGTCTATTAAAGCGTGAACTAAGCTCATCTTTAAGGCCAGCCATGGTTCCTCCTCCTCCACCTATTATGGTGGAGGGTGAACAGCATTTTGAACTCAAGGAGATCCTAGATTCTAGAAGCATTATGAATCAACACAATACTCGATAGCTTGGAAAGATCTCTCATTTTCCCAGAATGAGTGGGTTCATAAACAACACGTCAGGGCTCCCAGGTTGTTGAAAAAATTTCACGCTCATTATCCTGATAAACCTGACTAAACCATATGTATTTTCTCTCCCTGTTATTATTTTATTTCTCTCCAGGTGGATCTCTCATTTTTTTAAGGGGGGGCGGCATGTCAGAACCGTGTCTGTCTATGGGCATGGGGATTCCTGTTCTTTTTGAGTTCTACCATTTCTCTGCAGGGAGGGGGAGCTTGGGGTTGCTACAGTGTATTTCCTTTGCTTTGTTCCTTGCTCTATCCTCTTTGAAGTTTATTTCTCGGGGTGGGAATGGAATGTGCCTGCAGCCATCTGTCTTATGTCCGGGCACGGAAGAAGAGGCGCAGAGACTTAACAGCCTTGGAAGCGGCACCTTATCGCTTAGTTACCACATTTTCACACCTGCGGATTGGTCCATTTGAACCATCCAGATGGACAGTTGGGGTGGAGTTTTCATTGACTCTTTTGACTTACTGATTCGCACGGGAAACCCTCAGATCCTGCCTTCTACTACTGCTTTCAACACCTTCCAAAAAAAGTTCCTTTTGAGATGTCCATTTCAAGAGTTCGGTTTCTTGGGAGGCTTAATTGAGGCAGGTCCTTACAGGATACCAGTAACCTGATCATTTCTTTTAAGAATTCTTGTCTAGATCTGGGTCATAGATTAGGGCAGGGCTTTTCAACCTTTTCACCCATTGTACCACTTTTAGGATATGGCAACATCCGAGTACCACCAGTCGCCTAGCAAGGTGTCAAAAACGTGATGACCCCCCCCAAAAAGGAAAAAAGTGATAAAGTACAGGTAGTCCTCGACTTACAACAGTTCGCTTAGTGACTGTTCGAAGTTACAATGGCACTGAAAAACGTGCCCCCCAAGCCACAGCCGAGCAAGACACCTGCCTACCTGCCCAGCTGGCGGCGCTCTTCCTCCTGTCCAAGGTTTTCATTGTTGTGAGCATTTCTGTTGAGGATGGGGGGTATTTGGTTTTTATTCCCCCGTCTGCTGGGTGGTTGCAGCAGGTTTTGGTCCCTTCACATGACCCTGGGACACTGTGACCATCATAAATATGAATCAGTTGCCAAGCATCTGAATGTAAATCACAAGACCCTGGAGATGCTGCAACATTCCAGCTGATTGGTGCTTCTTCAGGGCTCAGCAGAAGCACCAGGATCAGCGCCAAGCTCCAGCTGGAGCCTGGCGCTGATCCTGGCGCTTCTGCTGAGCCCTGACAGTCCTGCAGCTCCAGCCATCTCTCGCTCAGGCTTGTGCAGTGCTGCCACCGGTTCAGCTCATTCCCCTCCCCCGCTACCACTTTTCTAGGATGGTCACATACCACCTGCCAGGTGCCAATGTACCACAGGTGGTACCCATACCACTGGTTGAAAAGCCCTGGATTAGGGTTAAGAATTTTCCAAAGTTCTGGATAAAGCCCCAAATCAAAAGTTGTAATACCCATGTTCCCCTGAAAATAAGACCGGGTCTTATATTTATGTTTGGTCCAAAAGACCCATTAGGGCTTATTTTAGAAAGATGTCTTATTTTTCCATGTACGGGAGGCGGCTAGTGCGTGGGGGCCAAAGGCGTCCAGCAGCAGCCGCAGCTCGCTAGCCCCTTGCCCAGCACACTCTGGGGATGCGAAGTCTGTGCAGCGCTGGTAAGTGGGAGCACTGCTACCACCAGGCGGGCTCCTGCTGGCCGCAACGCACAGCCGGCTGCCCACTTTGTTCCACTGTCTGATTGCACGCGGCTGCAGTGGGACAGGAGGCCATGCTATGAGCTGAGGCAAAGCAAGTGGCGGGGGAATGGAGCTGCCCCATGTACCCGTGCACCTCAGGGTCCCCACAGCCAGGTCACTCATACCCCACCACCTGCCTCACCTCACAGTGGCACCAGCAGCAGCAGCCCCGTCCAGCAAGAGCCCACATGGCTGCCTACCCACTCCGTCCCACCATCTGGTTGCTCGTGTCCGCAATGGGACAGGCAGCTCGTGGTGATGACACCAGTAAGTGGCCTCCTGCCATATTGTGGCCATGAGCAACCAGACAGTGGGAGTGGGTGGATTGGCGGCTTGTGCTGGATGGGGCTGCTGACAGTGCCGCCGTCATAAAGCGAGGCAGGTGGTAGAGCGTGGGTGGCCTGGCTGCAGGGGCCTGAGGTGCTCAGGTATGGGACACGTGGGGCAGCTCCACCCATCACCTGCCTTGCCTCACCTTGTGGCAGCGGCACTAGGCTGCTGGATGTGCAGTGCAGCTGCCTGCCCCTTTGCAAGCAGATGGTGGGACAGAGTTGGCGGGCGGCCAGCCATGGGGGCTCGAAACTGGGGCTTATTTTTTGGGTAGGGCTTATACTAGGCTAAAAATCATGCTGGGGCTTATTTCCTGGTTGGGTCTTATTTTTGGGGAAACACGGTAAGTATACATATTCCATAATGCAAATTTGATCTGACATTAGATAATAAACATTGCCTTATGGAGAAAAATGTTCATATATTTGTAATTTCAAACTAAAATTACTAAGACTTGTTATTATCTGGAATTTTGGTTGTAAGTCGTTTGGTCATAAGTTGAATTAAGTGACTGGACTTGGTTTAATTATTGTATTTATGATAGTCCTTAACTGAATCACTGTAGTTGTTAAACAAATCACATAGTTAAGCAAATCATATGATTGGTCGTAAGTTCAAATCCAGCTTATGCAATAGGCATTTTTGCCATGACTGTAGGATACTGCAGCTGGTTGTCATGTGACCACAGAACACTGCGAGCCAATAATTTTGAGGACTGTTCATAATATTGAGTCTATCGTAACCTGGAACAATCACTAATCAATTGGTTGTAAGTCAAGGACAACCTGTAATTCTGACTAATTTAACAACTTACTAGCACATTTTAACCCAAATGTTATAATGTCTCTATATTAACCTATATTTTTAACAATATACTTTGAACCTGAAAATGTTTTATAAAATCATATGATTTATTGAGACTTGTTTTATAAAACAAATTTACTTTTAACAGCTTCCTTTTTTCCTCACCAGCATCTATATAGCTTAATTATCCACTCTAAAATTATTATTCTCATTCTTTACACTTAAATTGTTTTGACAAAATTTATATAAACATACCATTTCTATCTTTTCATCAATGTCACTTTCTTCACTCTTTAGCTCCTCTTCTGTTCCTTCATCACTATCATCATCAGAAGAACTACTTATAGCTGTTTTAAAAAAATGAATTACCTTTGACATTTAACACATTTGTCACAATGTTATATTTAACAGAATATTTGACAAACAAAAGTTAAATTTCAAAATCAAGACAGCATATTAACTAGAGGTTCTAACTGAATTACACAATTTAAACAAACCACAAAAATGTTTAGGCTATTTAATTCAAAATAAATAATAGGAATTGGAAGTCTAAGACTTCCAAGTTGTAGAATATTCCGAAATTTGAATTGGTTTCATGGGAGTATAATATTGGGCAGCACTTTACTGTGATTTTGAAGCATTTTTAATGACTGAAGCATTAGATAGGTATGACAAATCACTTACATCTTGTAAGATTATTTGACATTCTTTTGAGCTTGTGGAGCAGGCAGGAAGCAGGTGGGCTCTTCTAGAGCATGAACTCTGCTTTCTGCAAGCTGGATCAATGAATTGTGTGGATGAACAATATGTGATTAACTTGGGAGATGGTAAAAATTTAAGAAAGGGATAGTGCCATCAGTCTTGACAAAAATGATTACATAATCATTTCTAAACAGATCATCTCTTGATCCAACCATGCAATATCCTGGTCAAAGTCCAATCTTTTCAATATGGTTTAAGACTTGATCTGGAAGGGAAACAACACTGGGCACCCTTGTGAATAATGGTCTGTATCTGGAGGAACTACATTCCTTCTGGTTTCACTGGCATTTGATACTATCGATTATGCTATCCTACTAGAAAGCCTACAGCATTTAAGCACTACAAACACTGTTTTCTCTTGATTCCACTCCTTCTTTAGCAGGTAGCTTTAGTTACTATGGATGAGGAAAGTAGTTGTTCCAACATGAAATAATAGAATAGAGTAGAATAGAATAGAATAGAATAGAATAGAATAGAATAGAATAGAATAGAATAGAATAGAATAGAATAGAATAGAATAGAAGCTGGAAAGGACCTTGGAGGCCTTCTAGTCCAGCCTCCTGCTCAAGCAGGAGAACCTATACCATCTCAGACAAGTGACTGTCTAGCCTTTTTTTTTTAAATCTCCAGTGATGGAGCACCCATGATTTCTGGGGGCAAGCTATTCCACTGGTTTATTGTCCTCATTGTCGGGAAGTTTCTTCTTAATTCCAAGTTGCTTCTCTCTTTTATCAGTTTCCAACCATTGTTTCTTGTCCTGCCCTCTGATGCTCTGGTGAATAATGTGACCCCCTCTTCTTTGCGGCAGCCCCTCAAATATTGGAATACTGCTATCCTGTCTCCCCTATTTCTTCTTTTCTTTAGACTAGCCAAACCCAAGTCTTGCAGCCGTCTTCGTATGTTTTAGTCTCCAGGCCTTTGATCATCTTAGTTGCTCTTCTCTGAATTTTTCCAAACTCTCAATATTTTTGTGATATGGTGATCAAAACTGGCTGCAGTATTCCAGGTGTTGTCTTCCTAGGGTTTTATAAATGATATTAATACCTTGCGTGAACTTGATTCTATGCCTCTGTTTATACAACCCAGGATTGTATTAGCTTTTTTGGCTGCTGCTGCACATTGCTGGCTCATGGTTAAGTGATTGTCCATTAGGACTCCAAGGTCCCTCTCACAGTTACTGTTTTTAAGCCAGGTCTCACCCAATCTGTACTTGTTCCTTTGATTTTTCCTGCCTAAATGTAAGACTTTGCTTTTCTCCACATTGAAACTCATTTTGTTGGATAGGGCACATTGTTCAAGTTTGTTAAGATCTTTTTGGATCCTGAGTTTGTCTTCTGGGGTGTTGGCTACTCCTGCCAGTTTGGTGTCATCTGCAAATTTGATGAGTTCCCCTTCAATTCCCTCAGCTAAGTCATTGATGAAGATATTGAAGAGTACTGGACCTAAGACGGAACCTTGTGGTACCCCACTGCTTGCTTCTCTCCATGTGGATGTAGTGCTGTTGAGGACTACTCGTTGAGTACAGTTTGCCAGCCAGCTACAGATCCATCTGGTGGTGATGTTGTCTATTCTACCTTTTTCTAGCTTACCAAAGACTTACCATGCATAGGAACCCACTACAGAAGAAATCCGTTAGTTTGGGACAAGTTATCATCAGTATGTTAATACAAGGGCAATTCAGAAATAAATCCCCGTTTGAGCATGTGTGAGAAATAGGTGGGGAAAGCAACGCCCGTCCTATGGCACCATGTGTAGTAGTTCAATAGGCAGTGAAGAGTGGAAGAAGGTTGTGTTGCAGTTGACTCATCCGCTAGATCAATTGAAAATGAACCCTGCCATAGAAAATCCTGCCAAATGTGAAGATGCCAAAGGAGTACTGCTAGTGAAGTTCATGGAGCATAGTTCGACCATCAAATGTTATGAAAACTCAGACAAGCCATCCATAACAAGCATTCGGGCATGCTGACTTCCGGTGTGGTATTGGTTCACGATAATGCTTATCTGCACACCACTAGACACACCCAAGAACTTTTGAAGCTGTTCGTTAGGACGTTTTGATAACCCCTTCCCCCCATCGCCCAGATTTGGGGCCAAGTAACTACTACTAAGGAATTTCAAACCTTGTAAGACATTATGACAAGTGCCTCAATTTGAATGGCAATTATGTCGAACAGTAATGTAATGTTGTAGTTTTCTTTTTTAAAAAAATATATTTTATTGATTTTTAACATACACCTTAATATTTGGTAAACAGCATGTTGTCTGGGTTAGTGTTTAAAACCAATCAATAACAATTAATTTCTATAATTCTATATAGTCCATATAATAACTTTACTTGATTTCCTTTTCTTCCAGTAATATTCTCTTTTGCCAACCTTAAATTAATTGTGGTTAGTTGCAAAGTTGTCTCAGACCCATCACGACCCCATGGACAACGTTCCTCCAGGTCTTCTTGTCCTCTACCATCTTCTGGAGTCCATTTAAGCCAGACATGTCAAACACAAGGCCCGGGAGCCAGATGCGGCCCGCGAAGTGGTTTCATGTGGCCCGCAAAGCCATTCTGGAAACAGGGAACAGCCCCCGATGCCTTGGCCCTGGCCCAGGCCGGCCGGGAGCCAATGTACAATTTTGTGGTGGCCATCTATGCTGAAACGCATTCAGTCTTGGCTCCACAAGGCCGTCTGAAAATAGCAAGGAACCAGCCCTTGCTGCGTCGGCCCAGCCCCCTAGGTGCATGCTGGGGAGGTGTCACCCTTTGTGAGGAATAAAGAAATGCACCATCGCCTGGAAGTGGCCAGGAATCGCCTACTTCAAATATCCGGCTTGATGGGCTCTGGGGGAGGGGTTTTGGCAGGCAGCGGGGCGCTCTCCTCACAGTGCCGAGAGGCTGAGCCGGGCAGCGCAAATCCAAAAAGAAGCGCGAGGCCACCCAGCTCCCAGCGTGCCCAGTTTCGGCAGGCAGCGGGGAGCTCTCCTCATAGTGCCAAGAACTGAGCTGGGTGGCATGAATCTGATGAGAAGTGTAATGCTGCCTAGCCCCCAGCCTGCCCAGTTTCAGCAGGCAGCAAGGTACAAAGCTGGCGAGTTTTGCACCACCTGGCTCAACCTCTCGGCACTGTGAGGAGAGCACCCCGCTACCTGCTGAGACTGGGCAGGCTGAGGGCTGGGTGGCATTGCACAGGTAATGTTGATTCTCATGCTGCTCATGGCATCCCCTCCCCCAGAGCCCACCAAGCCAGATATGTGAAGTAGGTGAGGGCCATTTGCTGGCCACTTCCAGACGATGGAGCAGTTCTTCATTCCTCATGAAGGGTGACACCTCCCCAGCTGCATTTCTTGCCTGTTTTTCTCCCTCCCTCATCTCAAATATTTTCCCACACTCTGTACTTAGGAAGGAAGGAAGGAAAGAAGGAAAGAAGGAGAAGGAGGGTCTGAGGGAAGTCCTGCCTTAGTCCTGCCCTGCTCCCCTTTCACTATCCCCTTGCCCCCTCCTCTTGGCCTATCCTGGGGGTCTCCCATCCTATTGCTAAGGAAGCTTTGGATACAAAGCCGGGTCTCCTCCCATGGACAGGGAATGGACCTCCCTCTGACTTTGCCCTCGTACCCATCATAAGCAACCTGGCTAAGGAGAGCAAGCACAGCAGCAGCAGCCTTGAGGAGGAGGTAAGTGCAGCTGAGCGCCCCCTTGGGGAAGTGGGACTGGGCTTGGTGCTGTGGGTGCTCAAGGGCCAGGCTGGGCATTTGACCTCTGCTGCCCAGGGCTCTGGGCAGCCCGCACCACCATCCAGTCCCCCCCACATGGCCTGAGAGGAACAGTGAGGCTCCTCCAGTGGAGCATGCCTTGGCACTTGATCTGGTCCCACCCCCTTCTGCAGAGACCCTCAGATCTATCCCACTCCTGCCCAGGCCCCCACAGGCACCCTTGATGCAAACGATGTAGAGCTGGCCATGCTCACCCAGTAGGCCGCACCCATTCCATCCACACCGACCCAGTAGGCTGCACCCACCCTGGCTGATGCGGCCCTCAATGAAATTGAGTTTGACACCTCTGATTTAAGCTCACGCCTACTGCTTCAGTGACTCTATCCAGCGACCTCATTCTCTGTCGTCCCCTTCTTCCATTGCCCTCAATCTTTCCCAGCATTAATTAATACAGTTTTTATTTAAATAAATGACAATCAAATATAGACATTTTTCTCATGTTTCTGCAAATAAAACCACATCAATATAAAGCTTCTTTTCACTGATCATCTTGATTGCCTTGTCATAAATCCTGTTTACAAAATTCTTATTTAAATTTGTTTTCCCCATAATATTCAAAGCATTCTTACTGGTTACAATTTTCTCAAAATTAGTTACACTTAAGTATTTAAGTCTTTTTTCTCATACAAGCCATCATATTTTTACATTTCTCATATCTTAAAGAAAAATAAGAAAAGAAAAAAAAGAAGACAAAACAGAGAAAACATTTCTTTTATATAAACATCCCAACATTTTTATATTTCTCATGTCAAAAAACCAAACAGAAAAAAAAGAAGAAAAAAGACATACTATGTTACTTGAGGGGTTCATCCCTCTTAAACTA